AAGCTAACACCATCATTAGACAAACCTGCTGTTGATATAACGTTGTATAGGAGCATGATAGTTTCGTTACTTTATGTAACAACCCGAAATTTCCATATCATCTCTTGTAACTCTTTCGTAGTACAATTCATGCAACCAATCGTCGTTTCCAAATTCGATTTTCGACCTTCTATTTAATTAAGTCATTAACTTGTACGTATTTAAAATGACTTAATGGGTGTCTTAATACATTTAGAAATCATTTTAACTCCCAACTTTAGTGATTGGAATATTTCTAGAAATTACCGTATCGGGTTACGGCAACTCAATCGGGTACGACCAAAAGCCTCGCCTAACGCCGGTATCGGGTAGAATTCCACCATGTCCAAAACTTAGACACTATATAATGTGTCTTAAGCCTCCATTTGAAGCCTTTGGCCATTTTCTCATTGAATACTCCCAACCTCTCTCCTCATCCAAAATCAAAGGTCCAAAACAAAGATTTAAGGCTTCCAATCAAAGTGGTAAACCCCTAACTTGTTATTCAACCTCTTTAGCCTTCAAATTGATGTTTAAATTATGTTTTGGGACCAGGAACATGAGTTTACGGCCAAGGATCATGCTTGGGCCGTAAACTCCTCAACATGGGTTTTTGAGCCAAATAACCCTTCCAAATCATAGTTGGGACTTAGATATGACCTTAAGGCTTGCTAATCTAGACTTGGAACACTTTAAACATGAATTTTGGGGGACAAAAGTGAGTTTACAGCCAAGGCACATTCTTGGGCCGTAAACTCCTCTTAAATGGGGATTTAGTGCCTTAAATCATGTCCAAATGCCTTGAAACTAAACAATGGCCTTGTGGTAAAATCTCGATGCATCTAAAAATAGTTTAAGGGTTTGAAACACATCAAAAATATCATTTATAGGAGTTTACGGCCTAGGAACATACCCTTGGCTGTAAACTCATAAAATCTTGTTAATGATGCATCAAATACACTCTAAAGGCTTGCATAAATTTCTAGAATCACATGTGACTGTTTTTAAGCATCAAAAACTAACTTTTCATGGGTATAAGAGAGTTTACGGCCTTAGAACATGCCTGTAGGCCATAAACTCCTAAAAGTATGTTAAATAATGTTCTAAATTCATAACAAGGCTTGGAAAATTAACTAGAATCACATGTGATTGTCCTTTGTAGCTCAAATCAATTTTTCTTGGCCATGGGTGAGTTTACGGCCGTAAACTCTTATGGTGTGGCCGTAAACTCCCTTTTAAGTGTTATAATTTCATTCAATCAATTCCAAGGCATTTTAGAAATCCATTCCAACAATCCCCATGTCCATTTAAGCCATTTAAACACTCAAAACTACACCAACATGAGTTTACGGCCGTAAAATCATGTGTGATGTGTTATGTGGTTGTAAACTCTTTAAATGTTTACTCTTGGGGAGTAAACTCAAGTCCAAGTCCTAGTGCCATTACACGTCCGAAGATGTCACCCGGGTCACTCCAAACGCTCGTTTTGAGGTGTTTAACCTCGTTGGAGTATAATGTTCCATATGATTACTGAATGTATCCTAATTGTATATATATGGACATTATTTCATTTTACATAGGGATATCGCGAGTAATCAAACCCCGAACCAACGTATAGTATCCCAAAACGATGCATTTTCGAGTCTGGTGAGTTCATACCCCTACCCTTTTTCACTGTTTCACTGTTTCAGGGGGGAACACAAGCAAAGTAAAGGGAATTCTTGTACTCAAAACATGTTTTCAAATGTGTGTTTCATATTTCATATGCTTTTATTACTGTTTACCATAACTGATAACCATTTGAACATGCAGAACACGTAACATATATTGTGAAATAGGTCTTTAAACTGCTATGTTTTACATATATTTCACAAATGGCTTTCCACAATTTATCAGTTAAAGCATGACATTAGACATTTTAACATAATACCTGTACACTGTTTTGTCCTCGGAACACTCCACACATATACGCGGGGGAGGACTATCATATTATTACTAGTAAATTTGTTAATCCTGTATGATTGGAGACACGTCATCGGCGAACACTCCACCGAGATACGCGAGTGGAGGACTACACCCATAACCAGAATCTCTGGTATTTAGAGAGCATGACTTGAGTGTATACGGGGCTGACTACCCACACCTGGCTGCTAGCTACAGCCGAACCGAAATGGTTCAGGGTGACGAAAGTCATAAGTATGTGGACTACTTATTGCCACATGTGGACTACTTATTGCCACAGGTTTTAGTCTATCGTATGGTTATGGAACTCGCAGTTAGGATAACAGAGATTTACTTATAGTAAACAGAATAGTCTATCGTATGGTTATGGGACTTTCTGGGAATACATGATAAGTAAACAGAATAGTTTAACAAGTCGGATAACCAAACTATATACATTTTTACATGAGTAGACATGTTTTCAGTGTTAAAACTTACTATACCTTACATTTGTGAAAACAACAATTAACTTTAAGAAAATATGGGATTTTCTTGGTATACTAACATTTCAGAAACAGAAAGGAAACTTGAAACATTTTCACAAACAAAACCGCTTATGAACTCACCAACTTTATGCTGATTTTCAAACTGCTTGTGTTCTCAGGTCAGCGTTAGAACAGGTACCCGAAGATTCCCTTTTTGATCAGAAGACGGAGTACATGAAGATCCGTTTCATTTTGCTTATATTATACTATGTATCAAAATTGTACAATCTTTACTTTTGAAACAACTGTAAAAACTTTTCTTATGTAATGTAATGGTTGTTTTACTTTACTTACTATGTGCATTGGATTTGATACTCAACGTGGAGTCAACCCCGGAAATGTTTCCACCTTCGGTTTTTGGGGTGTGACAGATTGGTATCAGAGCCCTTGTTTATAGTGAATGAAGTATACCAAACTTAGATGGTATAAAACTATAAACACTAAAGGGCTAAGTGCTCTGAATTAAAAGTATCTTCAAACTACAAGTATTTTCAAAAGTATACAAGTATACCAAACCGTCGTCATCCGTAACCACAAGTAGAACAGAACATAGGTAATTGGGTGTTGTGTGCTATGGTTAAACCTGGGCAGTTATGTAGTCGTGTCTAGGGTCAATATAGCCTGGCTAACTATATTCATTCGAGACACGGCCAACATGTGCTTGGGAGTGACTGTTGTATGCGACATGCCTAAAACTTACCCTAATATTCCAAACATCGAATCATGGTCGTAAACAATTCATGAAATACTATGGGAGTATTTCTTGATTCAAATCCTCTGTAGTAATCCTTATTCGAGTGGCTTTCCGTGATTATTCTTAGCGATAAATTATCTGTTTCGATAACTTTTCCTGCTTTATCGCTTATTCTGATCATATAACTATCATATCTATCGATTCAATGTAGAGGACTTACCATCCTCTCTTTCT